TCTCGGCTTTCGAACGTGCTTCTTATCAGCCGCTAGCATAGGCTGCATTCCGCAAAAGTGACTACTTAAGTAGCATAGGTTTTTCAACTGATTTTCGATGCCTTCGTAAATTCGAATGTTTTACAGAAAACATGCACAAAATATCCTTTCTACTACTCATCTAGTAGTGAATTGCGTCTTTAAATTTTTTACTTGAAGGAAGAGTATCCTTCGATTTAAAATTTTCCAAATTCTCGAGTAACTTCGAAGTCGCCTGTGTTGAACTTGCATTCGGGGTTTCCACACTACAAACTGTGTACATGTCGTTTAAGGAAAATCGGACACTTCACAGAATCTTGTGGTCGATGTGGACAGCGTTGTCTAATTTATAATCAGCTTTGATAAATAGGCTGACGTGACACTATTTGACCGGACATTTCACGGCCATGAGAGATTTAATCGTTCGAAACTTTCTTAAAACGGAAATAAACACTTCCCTCGAGTATAAAACTTAAAGGACGTTATTTGCTACCAAGTGAGCAAAATAAAAGTGGTTTTGTGTATGTTTTCTATAAAATATATTTGAGTATGTAAGTGTCGAAAACCGATGAGAAAAATTAATACTACTTGAGTGGTCATTTTCTAAGGAATGTAGTTTACTAAGGCGTTCAAGGGGAAGCTCGTTCGAAAGTCGGCACCTCGACGTAACTAAAATGTTTTGGCATTGTGCGAAAGGATAATTAACATGACAACTCTACTTAAGAAATTTCGGAATGAAAATGCACTCCAGAACTTCGTCAACATTTCATGAGATTGCACATCTACTATACCCACGTGTTCTGACCGACTGGTACTTTGCTTTTCAGTGCTTTAGACGATAGAAGACTAGTCGCGCTAATGCGTAATCGCGTCACACCGTAGGTGGCGATGGCAACTGTCTTAAGAGCGACCCTGGTTGGTTAATTATCCATTTTTGATCGATTCGTCTGTGACTACTAGCTTGTGCTTAATACGACGGTGGTCCTTCTT